AAAAAAAAAAAAAAAAAGATGGAGGAGCCCTGGATGAGGCTGGCTAACGGGCGGCCCAGCAGGCGGGAGGGAGACCTTCAGAACCCACACTCTCACCTCCAGCTTTGCAAACTTGTCCGACTTGCAGCAGGCGTTCTCGGCATTGGTGAGCTTGGTGAGCAGAAACTCCCTGAAGTCCCGGCCCTGGAACAGACAAGACGGCCCTCAGGTCTGTCATTCTCGGCTGTTGCCGGGAGATCTTCAGCCACGGTGACAGGCAGCAGAGCTGGGGGCGTGGGGAGAACCCCTGAAAGGTCCCTTCTGACACTGGATCATTGCTAGCCCAGGCCAAGCCCACCTGCGAATATCCCAACACGGAAACCCGCTTCCCTGGTCCTGGGAAGCCACAGCGGCGCTTCCACGACTGGAGCTCATTCTTGCCCAAGGTTCCTTGACCGGGGCCTGACATAAAAACCCCTCTTTCAGCAGAAAGGCAACCCCAGGGTCAAACGCCCCGACAAGTGGTCCTATGCTGGGCCAGACTGGCAGCATAAAAGAGGTGGGGAGAGACCCCAAGAAAGGAGGTTCCCCCCAAACCTGCAAAAGGATCTCCCTAACGTTCCGAGCCTGAATTCGGCTCCATCCCAACCATTGCTACTCAAGCACTGAGACGTGGCATTGTGGATGCGAGAGGAGCAGAAGGAAGAGTGTCCTACCTTCTGGAAAACGGGGGGGCTGGGCAGAGGTGGACCAAAGGTGGGCACATCTTCCCGCGCAGTGACAGAGACCTGAGTGAAACAGAGTCATGGTATGGACCTGGAGGGAAGGGACGGGCACTGCCCCTACGGGAGCCACACTCCTCACAGCAAAGCTACCCACTTTCTCCCTCCTCGCCTTCCCAGAACACAAACAAAATACTCCTGTGGGCACCGCCAGTGCAGGCCCCGAGCCTGTTCCTAGAAGTGGGGCCGGACGGTGCGGGGCCGGCTGCAGCCTCTCATCTGCGTTCCTGGAGGCCAGAAGCAGGTTTGGCAAGATGACTGGACAGGGCTAGGACCCTAATTATAATGCCACACAAGTGCCTGGGAGATGGTATCTCATGGCCTCATTCGACAGTGATGCTAATCCTACTGAGAAGGCACAGGGAGAACTGCTTTTCCCTGATGAGGAAACAGAGGCCCAGAGACACACAGAGAAGCCCCCAAGTCCCACAGGTGATTAGCCGCAGAGGAACAGAGCATCCAGACTTCTCCCGACCCGTCTCTGGTGAGCAGAAACGGGTCCCAAGCCTGACTCCTCAGCTCGGCCATAAATCAGAATTGCTTCAAAATTGCTTCAGGTGTTTAAAAATAAATACTAGGTTCACGGGTTCTGGCCTAAACCTGCCGAATCGGAAAGGCAGAGCCCCCTGGAAGCTCTCGTGCAGCCAGTGGACCCGTGTTTGGGAGCCCTGGCCCCACACACAGGGTCAGCCAGTCCGGGGCCCAGCCTAGGAACTGAGGGTGGGGCGCACACCTCTGGCAGCCTGAGCGAGCCTGAGCTTTCGAGTGACGGCATCCAGGTTCTCTGCATGGGGGTCTCCCAGGCGTGGGACGGGCCCCGCACCCCACCTTCCCTCTGCACAGAGGTGCCCTGATTTCACCTGTCCTCAGCCCACGAGGCTGTGGGGCTCTCGGGAGACTGCCCTCCCTTCCCCGTGCGGCCGCTGACGTGAGCCCCGCCCTGGCGTGCTGCCAGCCTCCCCAGCCTGTGAAGTGGGGCAGATGCAGAGAGTCTGCCAGGGCGGGTGAGCAGGCAGCTGGGCACCGAGCCAAGGAAAGGCCCTGCCAGAGTCCAGAGGGGAAACAGAGCAGGAGAGAGCTGGTCAATACGGGCTTTCTCTTCCCAAGCTCGAGGCTGTCTGCCCGGCCCGAATTGCAGTGCCCGGAGTCAGGAAATGGTGCGTGTTCGGCTGACGTGATTTCTGGCTGGGCTCCAGCAGCTGAACCCAGTTCCCTACCACCACCCACCAGGCACCGGTGGCCCAGGTCAAGAATTCAGTCACAGAGCCAGAATCAGGGGTGGGGGTGTGGGAAGGCGACGGGGAGGCTGCAGACTGCGGGCACCTGGGACAGAGGCCAGAGGGCAGCCCCAGCTCTCCCCTTCCCACCCCTACTCCCCGTCATCTTCCAGCCTGCATTACAGTGGTCTGTGCGACTGTGTAAGTGGCTTCAGACACATTCTCAAATGTGTCCAACCCTCCAGCGGGACAGTCCCACAGCAGAGCCCTGTGGGCCACGTCGGGGGCAGGGGCCTTCCTTGTGACGTGCTTTCACCTTCCATCCTCATTGTGCGCCTCTCCTGACCCCATTCCAACCAGGCGGCCAGGCCTTTGTTGTTCCCCTCTCTTGGGGACATCTGGGTCACTGGGCTGAAAGCAGAAGTTGCCTGAACACAACCCCACCTTCCTGTTTTCTAAATGCAGTGAGGGCCTCCAGCAAGGGCTTGGAGGGAGAGAGGCAGGTGCAGGTGACTCTGGGGAAGGGACCTGCATGGCTGGAAGGAGG